ACAGCCCCCTACAACAAAGAATGATCAGACCCAAAATGTCAGTAGTGCCATTGTTGAGAAAGTTTGCATTGAAAGTTGTCCTAGCCCTAACCGGTTTGGCTCAGTGGATAGAGCATCGGCCTGTGCATTGAAAGGTCCCAGGTTCAATTCCAGTCAAGGGCATGTATGTACCTTGGTTGCAGGCACATCCCCAGTGGAGGGCGTGCAGGAGGCAGCTGATCAATGTTTCTAACTCTCTATCCCTTTCCCTTCTTCTCTGTAAAAAAATCAATAAAATAAAAAATTAAATAAATAAACAAAATATATTTTCAAAAAGTTGTCCTAAAACATCACCTTTAATTTAAAATTTAGGATTTTGCTTAAATTTAGCAGTCTTATCACGAAGAATTGGGGGAAATTTATTCAGTAGAATAAAATCCATGATTATCAATTTGGAGGTCCAAATCTTTGTCAACAGTACTATTTTGTAAATTTAAGCCACATCATAAATAACACTACCTTTTGCAAGGAGACCTAGAAGATAAAAAGACTCACAGAAAATAGTTCCTTTTATTTAAGTATCAGATATTTGCTTTGATTCAGCTGTTTTAGCACAAGAAATGTGGGAGAAATTTATTAAGTAAAAGGGTGGGGTTTTTTTTAGTTCAAATAAATAAATACGAGTAGAGGTAGGAAGGATCCCACTCCTGGCCATATAATTAGAGAAATTCTGGGACAGGTCCATAAGAAGACGCATAAGAGGTTATTTTATCTATGGTTATTTGTGATGGTTGGAGAGCTGGACTCAACGAGGCACTCATCACCGGGATAGTCTATCACAGTAATGAGCAACGAACTAGATATCCACATAGCAATGTAAATAGATCTTTAAAGGACAAAGCTGAATGGGTGGGGGAGAGTAAGGAACAGAAAGAGATCGCTAGCATAATACAATTGATTGAAATTAAAAATACATGCCCACAAAACAATGCGTCAAGCTTTCTAGAACACTCGGGAATCTTAGTCACGGCACAACTACAGTCTCTTGGGCATTAGGCACCACTGCCACC